GTTTTGGAAAAAGTAAGCCAATGTAGAGTACTTTGGAAAGGGGGCTTGCTTGCTGCTAGTCTCTCTTACTGCCCAGATACTTGTTCCTGTTCCATGCCAGGACAAAAATTTAGCTTCAGTTTCATGCATGGAACAGCTGAATTCTGCTTGTGAAACTGAAGCCAGGGTTTGTCTGTCCAGCTGCAGTGGAAATCTACATTTTAAGCTGAAAGAAATGAAGAAGCCTGCATCTAGTTTCTTTTTTTTTTTTTTTTTTTTCCTATGCCACATACTTCAGGAATACTAGATCTTTTTTTTTTTTTTTTCCAAAGGGCAGTTCATTATTGCCTGTAAGAACAAGCATAGCTAATGTACTTATAAGGTAGAACAGTCTTATATTTTGAAAAAATAACTAGTGATTTTGGATAGTTCAGTTTTCACAGAGGTTCAGTGTTCAAACCCATTTCATTCCTCTTTGAGAGTTCCTATGTGCTGATGATTTTTATTTGATGAACTCTTACTCCCAGGAAGCTGGGCAAAGTCTTGGTCGCAGGTAATTTCACCAGAAACTATTTGCTAGGATTCTCCTAATTTCTTTCTGTTGCTTTTCCCAGTGTTTGACAATATGGTTTTGCAAACTGTGCCTCTAGACAAAGAAAACAGAGTGTAACTTTCTCGGCAGCTTTTGAAAAATCCCTTCCTGAGAGCCTGTTTCATTCTAGTCTTTGAAAAAAGGAGCTCCCTCCATGAAGTCTTTCTGAGCCCTGAGTATGGTATTTCTTCAGTGCTATCAGCGTACACATCTCTCCTGATTGCTCTGGTGGGCACTCAGATCCTCTGCAAGGGCTTCCTCCACCAACGGCCCAACCTCAGCCTGCCTACCGGCAGGCAGCACAAATGCTCCAGGCTCTTCCTCTTTCATGAGGAGCATGACTTCTGCCGAGAGCTCTGCTGCTCACCAAATTTTATGTCTGAGATTGGTTTGGAAAAGAACAATAGGACTTTTTAATTCATTTTTTAAGGTTTTGTGTGCTTTGTTCTCTAACCCAACACCAATATTGCCTTCTCTGGGCTGATCGAAACTGGCTTGCTATTTTAAAGATCTCAGGTTAGCAATAAATATAGCTGAGTTATATAATGGCTGGAATCAAAGCACAAACACAGGAATAACTAGGCTTAGTCTGCCACACTACACTCAACTTGACCAGCTAAATCCAAACAGCAACTATTATTAAAAGTCTGCATGTCTCTAGCCCCTCGGGATATTCAGATGCTTTACAAAATATTTTAATTTAGCCTCACAACCAACCTGACATGAGGGTAAATTTAGCCTTGTTCTGAAGTTGCTCTCTGCATACATATATGAACTCATCAAGCTTGCTTGCCCATGCTGGACTTTGTGTGCGTGTAAGTTGGGTGGATATGAAAATTAGTATTAACCTTTGCATCTGTGGGTTTAACCGACTGGTCAAAAGTCATACAGTGAATAGTGCTTGCATCTCCAAAGCAGAACACAGAGCCAAACCACAAGACCATCTGTTTTTCCCTCTGAAGGGTGTTTAAACAGCACAGATAGAAATGTCTGCTGCAAGGATTCACGTCCTTCCCTTTTCCACATACTGGGATTTGGCTAGGAATCCTGTAGCGTCCCTTCTTTCCCTTCACTCAGTGGTAGAAAAATCAGGCACTGGATGAGCACTACAAATGCCTTACATGTGGGATTTTCTTGTTTCCACCAACGTGTATCTGGTCGAATGTTTACTGGTTTGTCACCTCCCTAGAGCCCAGCCTGCATTAAGAGGGTAGACCAAGTGTAACTAGACCAGCGGCCGCCAGTCTAGTTACACTTGTGCACTGTCACACTGTCTTGGGAGCCAGGCTGGGACACACTTCGTTTGGCTATGACCAGAGCAACCCATATTGCTGTAAGCCCCCGCACGCCTGGACAGCGAGTCTGCCGTACCTGTGACAATGCAGTTGTCCCCTCGCGTCTCTTGAAAAGAGACATGCTTCATTTCCCCTCGCCCCCGGGATGAATAGGCCTTCTCCCTGCTACCGAAGTGCACCCCTCCCGTGGCTGACACAGCACTTGGGCTCTTTACACTGTTCCAAGGCATCAGATTTTTGTGCAGTGCATCTAGCCCCTACATGCGGAACAACTGCTTGTGATGGTTCAGTGGCCTTCCTCCAGGTGCCTTTCATTACACTCACCAGGTTAATTTTTTGCCTAGGTTTAATATGGTCTCTTTTGCTTTCTCCCCAGGCCACAGGCCCAAACACACAGAGTTCTTGCTGGTTGCCTCCATCTCTTTCTCAGCAGTCTCCCTAAATCCCTCAGCCTTGGCAGCTGCTTATGGCAGCCTGCCCACCATAACCCTCCGCTGCTTTGGGCACACGCTGTGACTTTTTCTCAGAGCGTGTACAACTGTGCTGCTATTTTGACCCCTGGGTGGTTGTGCCCAGACTTAGGCCACTGCCTACAGAGGCTGGACGTGGTCCTGGGAGACCCTCGCCTTCAAGTGACCACCCTGTGAAGACGACCAGCTCCGAGGGCCCTCCCATGCCAGGTGACTTACTCCTCAGTCTCCAGGATTTCCTTGGGAAGGAGGATAGATCCGGTAGCTGACTAGTTTATTGAGCTACTTTCAACTCGGGTGCGGCCTCAACTGTCCCTTCCTAACGTTACTGAGGACAAAGGACTGTGATCCTACATATCCAGCTGAAGGCATATTCAGCACAAGACGAATAAAAGGAGCTCTGTTGCGGTATGTTAGCACTAGAGGTTCCTGCCAAACCATCAGTTCCACAGTCTTCTGGTCTGAGGATGTGCCGCACTGCCTCAGGCTCCCGGTGCTGACATGTGAAATATTCTGGGAAGGGCCCTGATGGAAATCCCTTGAGCAAATAGTCAGAATATGCAAGAACTGTGGGAGTGGAACAATCTCAGGACAGTGTTGGTCAGACTTCCAGCAAGAATTCCCCAGCCAGGAGCATCAGCTCAATTATCTTCCCTTGGTCACTGCCACAAACTACCAGTGGGCCAATGGATTTTGGGAAACCGGAACAGCTTTACAGACTTCATGAACACTGATCCTTAAACAACGAGACCCAGAAGAATTAGAATGAAATTGGGAAAGCTAGATAAAATTCCAGTGGGACCCGCCCTTCTCTGTACCTTCATAATTCTAAAAGGCATATCCTATTTCAAGATAAAAAATAAGAAAAATGGAAGGCAGCAGCACACAGCAAGCTTTGAATCACAAAGCAGTTCACCCTATGCATAGAGGAGTTTGGCTGCTGCAGCAAAAATTAATTTCAGTCTTATTAGTGTGGCCTGATAATTACTGGAGAAAGGGTTAAAAATGCTTATGACAGATGAATTTTTAGCAAACTGATTCAGAGTTCATTTGTCAGGAAATAAATAGAAAAAAAAAAAATCTATGCTCTCTCTATGCTTGATTTATGTCACTGTGCTTATTATCTCTCGAGGAAATCCTCCTTTGTGTGCTGTCTGATCAGCTAATAAGTACAGATCCTGGAAGAAGTTGAAAGAAAATGAGCTGCCTTTGCTCTGAACTTCTTTCTTTTATCTGTTAATTCTAACCTCAAGTGGTACAGCAAGGTTTTGCCACTCGTCTTCACAGCACCAGGATTTTCATGCAAAGTCTTTATTCTGTTCCTGGTCTCTACTGTACAGTATTATAACAGATCCCCAGACTCCTTTGGAAAAAAACAACCAAACAAAAAACAACAAGAACAAAAAACCCTCAACTTATATTACAAAAAATTTGAACACTCACAAGTTTAGTTGTCCAGTTCTCAACTTGAGCGGACAAAAGGAATAAATGGAGCTGTGAGAAAACATCCCGGCTTCCCTGGCACTTGAGAGGCATCTCTGGTCTCTCTGCTGTCGGCAGGACTGCCAGACAGAGCCTGCCCTCTGGAAAAGAGAAGAAAAAGGACAGTGAATCCCTCCTGCAGGCCACTCTGCTGGGGGAAGGCCTAATTAAATAAAGCAAGTTAAGGGCAGACTCCTGTTTACATCTTTCACGGCAGTAAATAAGGAAACTCTAGGGGTGGGCAGGGAGCTCCGGCCCAGCGAAGGGAGGGCGGGAGACACGGGAACTTGGCGCTTCTCCTGAGCGTCCGCACCAGAAGGTGTTTGTAAACAAACGCCTTGCGCTTCCCGTTTCGCGAGTGTTTTTAAACGCAACTTTAAAGCTTTAACCTGCCCGCTGCCAAAGCGTCGCCCAAGCTGGGGGGGGCGAACTTCAATCTCCTTTGGCGTCGGGGCTGCGGGAAGGAGCGGAGAGGCGCGGCGGGCGCGCACACCCCCGCGGGCAGGGGAACGGGGGGAGCGCGGCGGTGACAGCCCACCAGCTCCCGCTCCCCGACCGCAGCCACCGCCCGGGCTGCGACCCGCGGCCCCCTCACACCTGAAACCGGAGCCGTGTCCGTGTGAGGGGGGAAGAAACACCAAACACCGCCCCCCCCCCCCCCCAGCCGCGCCGCGGAGGGACAGCTCCCCACAGCCGCGCAGGCGCCGCGGAGGGACGGCGGGGAAGCGGTTTCCCCGCGATCCTTCCGCCGGGAGGCCCGAGGGAAGGGAGTCCGCGCGCGTCCTGTGTGTCTGTCGGTCCGTCCTCGTCTCCCCCCCCCCGCCCCCCCACCGGCACCGAGTCGTGTGCCCGCGGGCATCGGCGGCGGGAAGCGCCTCTCCCCGCGTGTGTATGCGGGGACGAACCGAGCAGAGAGGCGGCCCCCGCCGCGGCGCTGCCCCGCCCCGCCCCTGCCGGGCGGGGGTGGGCTGAGGGGGGGGGGGGGCCGGCCCTTCTTTCCCTTCCCTGTTCCCCCCCGGGAAGCGGCTGGCTGCGGGCTGCCTCTCGCTCCCCCCCTCCCCCCCTCCCTTTTAATTTTTATTTTATTTTATTTTAACCCCCCCTTCCCCTCCCCCCCCCCCTCCCTCCCCGCGGCGGCGGCGGCCCGCCTTTTCCCTCCCCTTCTCCCCCGTCGCCGCGGCCCCGCCATGGCGACATGAGCCCGCCGGCCGCCGCCGCCCCGGAGATGGGGCCCGCAGGGTGCTGAAGCGCCGCGGAGGAGCCCCCGCCGCCCCCCCCCCCCCCCCCCCCCGCCATGGGGTGCTGATGGCCGGGCACCCCGCCGCCACGCAGGGGAGGTGAGACACGGGGCGGGAACGGGGGGTGCGTGTGCGTGTGGATTCCCCGCGGCGGGATCGGGTGTGCAGGGCACCGGGGCGGGGGGGTGAGGGGCGGGGGTGTGTGCAGTGCGAAGCCGCCGTTGCGTGTGCGCGGCCGTGGGTGTGTAAGGCGCGCGTTGCACGGCGCGGGGGGTGTGGGGGGTGCGTGTGCGGCGAAGCGCGCGCTCCTGTAGCGCATCGCGACAGCGGTGCATTGTGCGGGCGCGTGTGCGTTTGCGCGCGCGCCAAGCGCGCAAAGCGTTGTGCAAAGCGTTGTGCGTGCAGCGCTCCCGGGCCCTGTTGCAGCCCTTCTCTGTGTGTGTGTGTGTGTGTGTGTGCGCGCGCGCGCGCGCACAGCGGGCGTGCAATGCCCTGTGTGTGTGTGTGCACAGTGGGCGTGCAATGCCCTCTGTGTGTGTGTGTGAGTGTGCACAGCGGGCGTGCAATGCCCTCTGTGTGTGTGCACAGCGGGCGTGCAATGCCCTCTGTGTGTGTGTGTGCACAGCGGGCGTGCAATGCCCTGTGTGTGAGTGTGCACAGCGGGCGTGCAATGCCCTCTGTGTGTGTGCACAGCGGGCGTGCAATGCCCTCTGTGTGTGTGTGTGCACAGCGGGCGTGCAATGCCCTGTGTGTGTGTGTGCACAGTGGGCGTGCAATGCCCTCTGTGTGTGTGTGTGAGTGTGCACAGCGGGCGTGCAATGCCCTCTGTGTGTGTGAGTGTGCACAGTGGGCGTGCAATGCCCTCTGTGTGTGTGCACAGCGGGCATGCAATGCCCTCTGTGTGTGTGTGTGCACAGCGGGCGTGCAATGCCCTGTGTGTGTGTGTGCACAGTGGGCGTGCAATGCCCTCTGTGTGTGTGTGTGCACAGTGGGCGTGCAATGCCCTCTGTGTGTGTGTGTGAGTGTGCACAGCGGGCGTGCAATGCCCTCTGTGTGTGTGCACAGCGGGCGTGCAATGCCCTCTGTGTGTGTGCACAGCGGGCATGCAATGCCCTCTGTGTGTGTGTGTGTGCACAGCGGGCGTGCAATGCCCTGTGTGTGTGTGTGCACAGTGGGCGTGCAATGCCCTCTGTGTGTGTGTGTGAGTGTGCACAGTGGGCGTGCAATGCCCTCTGTGTGTGTGTGTGCACAGTGGGCGTGCAATGCCCTCTGTGTGTGTGTGTGCACAGCGGGCGTGCAATGCCCTCTGTGTGTGTGTGTGTGCACAGCGGGCGTGCAATGCCCTCTGTGTGTGTGTGTGTGCACAGCAGGTGTGCAGTGCTCTGTGTGTGTGTGTGTGTGCACAGCGGGCGTGCAATGCCCTCTGTGTGTGTGTGTGCACAGCGGGCGTGCAATGCCCTCTGTGTGTGTGTGTGCACAGTGGGCGTGCAATGCCCTCTGTGTGTGTGTGTGTGTGTGCACAGTGGGTGTGCAATGCCCTCTGTGTGTGTGTGCACAGCGGGTGTGCAGTGCTCTGTGTGTGTGAGTGTGTGTGCACAGCAGGTGTGCCATGCCCTGTCCCTTGTTTTTCTCCCCCCCCCGCAGGGCTGAGCAGCCCATCTGTGCCCCGGGTGTGACTGCTTGTCACACCCCTGGGCCGGGTGACACGGCGTGGCGCACGTAATTTGTTTTTTGGTCCTCTTGTCTCCGTGTACTTTGCTTGCAGAAACGGGCTGCATTCCCCTCCCTTCCTCCTTTGCGCTCTCACCTGCAATGGAAGAAGTTTTCTTGAAAGAAGAGTGGTGTTGCATTCCAAAAAATCTCTCTCCAAAGGGGTGAACTTATCTGATGGGAACCTCACTCCTTTATTTCATGCTGGGGGTAGAAAGCAGACTTGCAAAAAATCTTCCTGAAAACTTGTCCATCGAAGAGAGAAAATCCCATTCCCTTATTCTCCTCTTTTGAGCCTGTGAAGGAGGGAAAAAGGAGCAGTCCCGCATTTTCCCCGCTCAAAAAATAAGGGAGTTAAAAGGCAGACTGTTTCTAGCCCGAATTTAAAAGTGCTTTTCAGCACCAGTCTTTGTGTGCTCCTCAAACATTCCTTCCGTGGTGTGCTGCAACAGCTTGTACGTGGCGCAGCCCCTTCTGAAGACAGAAGGCTGAGGTTTTTATATTAACAAAATGTTTTAAATTGAGCAAAAGGCACGTGGTTGCAAAGCTCCCCTTTCTGGAGTGTCTCTCACCTCTTCCCTGCAGGGGTAGCAGATGTGGCTGTTGCCCTCCCCCGCCAGCTGGGGCTGACTGCTGCCTCTGCCCCAATTTAAATCTGGGGGATTCGCCTGGAGCCCAGGCTTTGCCAGGTAAGGCTGGGTAGGAGTTTCTCTCTCAAAAAGCAAATCTCAGCATCTTTTCCTTGTCTCGAGGGTTTGATTTTGGATGATCCCTGCAGAAGATTCAGTTTTGGTTTTGAAGTCGTCAGGCTGGCTCGTAGGGCTGGGGGACGGCTTGATCTCATCCGTGCCAGCACAGACCTTGCCGTGGGATGTGGGAAGCTGATCTTTTGGCTTCTCCCCAGCAGGAATTGAACTTTCACATGGTGTGTATATATATATATATATATATATATACTTTTAATTATCCTTCACCCCTATTTAGAGCTTGTGTGTAGTTTGATATGTCAGAACTGAACTTAGATGCTCCTTTTACTGTGTCCATTCTGGATTATTTCCGAGTCCCGTGCTTTGTTTGCTCTGAGTCCTTATTTAAAATTACTCTGAGATTGCTTCTGTCGTTGCATGATAAGAGCTTTGCTCTATCAGGACCCTCTCCACAAAAGTTCCTGCTCAGTGGATGACTGCTGGGGCCGGCCTTTCCCACTGTTTCACGTCGGAGGTGTCCCGGGGGCTGCAGCGGGTGGCAAGCAGAGCAGTGCTCCTGCGGGGTGTTTCTGCCCTGGTCTTGCTGTCAGCAGCCATTCCTGGATGCAGTTGAGGGCACTGACATGCCTCTTCACAGCTCTCAGGTTGGCTCGGCAGCCCTCCCCTCTGGACTCTTCTGCACAGTCAGGTGCTAAAGGGGAATTTGGGTTGGTTCAGGAATAGTTTTAGGGAAACGGTCGTTGCTCAGTGGCCTGTATCCCTATCCCCTCGAGGCCTTGGCATCGCTTTGAGGGAATGGCCAAGTCTGGTATTTGGACCTCTGTTTTCCAGGGCAACATAGTATCGAGAGCTACAGGTCTGTCTTCTTATATTAACACGCTGATGCGATCAACATTTACTTTCTAAAATGTGTTTTCCTATTTGCAGATTATTTGTTATAGTAATATTTACAGACCTTTATCAATTTAAAGACTTCAGGCCAAGCATGAGGCTTCTCAATGCCACTGCCTTTGCTTGTGTCATTGCCCAGGGATAAACTTTTCAAGTCAGTAGGTGGACCTAAGTGTTTAACTTTTACCAGCTTTGAGCATCTCCCCTGTAATTATAGTCTTGTCCGTTTTCCCTTCTCAATTTCTATGTGCTCAGCTGCTTCTTAGCATACCTCATGCAGGCCACGGAAGTGAGAAGGTGAATGGTGTTCGTGCAGTGGAGCATGCCTTCCCCCAGGGCCTGGGTGCAAGATGCTTGCCTTTGCACACCTGTAGCAGTGCGCTGGTTAAAGCGGTAATTAATCTTGACCTCAGGCTGAACTAGCTTTTTGGGAGCACATATATTTGCAGGTTTGATGTTTGTGTCTTCACGTGGCACTTTTTAGGAAATAAGATTTGGTGCAGCTGTCATGCTGATGTAAATTATCCATCTAAACAGGGTGATACAGTGGATAGATACACAATCTGCAGTTTACTTGACACTGCTCCGTAGCCTGCCAGAGATAGATTTTAAAAAGGCTGGGCAGGGCCAGTGGCTTCAGGAAAATTAGGCATCATATTTTAACTGCCAAATGATAACCCTTAGGACTCAGTTGCTCAATCAGGGAGCAGAATGTGAGTAAAGGAGAAGAGCTGTATCTCCAGATTGGGTGAAACACGGTTGTGGGATCTGAAGGTCTTCCTCTGCAAGATCTAAAATGGGTGTCTAGAGCTAACCTGCCAAGGAACAAATTGTACCTGTTTTCCTTCTCTCGTGTGACTTTCAGAGGTGCTAGAGGAGGTACAAACCCAGGTACTCTGATGAAGAAGCAGGAAATCCGGGTTGGCCATCAAGAAGGTGGATTTCAAGGGAGATTCTGGTTCACTGAGAATAGAAAGTAGGTTTTTTTTTGAGAATTCAGCATAGCAGTAGCTATTTTCAAATGCCAAAAAACCCAGGTGAAGTCATTCAGATGGAGGGAAAATCTCAGGTGTCTTCCATCCTAGTATGAAGCAGACACTGAAATTTTCCCTTCCTGTGTGTTTGCTAACTGCAATATTATCAACACTGATTTATTAACCATAATGGGTATTTGCACTTGCTATGCAATAAACTCATCTAAAAGCTCACTCGGGAACAACATGTTACTGCAGATACTCCATTTTGCTCATCGGCCCAGACATCAAACATTTTCTTTACTGGGATGATGGGATGTGCTGGATGAACCCATTTGCCAGAGGCTTTTGCACCTTTTTGGTGGTATTTTGCTGTACACAGCAAGATCCTATTTCTTGGCTGGGGTAGCTCTTGACTACAGTTACATGAGGACTTCAGTCCCAAAAACTTCAACCTTTACCTTCCTAACAGTTTTGACTGTAAATCTTGGGGTTTAACTGCTCCTAACTGCTCCTATGCAGCTGAGAAGCCTGCTTCCTTTAGGGATGCAACTGCTGTAATAACATGACCAATAACATGCAGCTTAGTCTCCATTTATGAAAGCACATCAAATGTGCCTGTACTTGTGTTGATAGGAGCAAAGGAGGACTTTGTACAACACACCTTGTGGAAGCAGTAGCAGCACTCTAGCTGCCATTATTACATACTGCCTCAGACATACTGTTTTCTCTTTATCAGTACCCTCACCTCCCAGAGTTTCCTTCCCTGAGTTTGTTTTATTTTAGGCTGAGGACTGTGTTTCTGTTGTCTGGAACT